TAATAAATAAATAAATAAAAAGAGAAAACGCTTAAAACACCTCGGGGATTCGAACCCGCGATAGTCTGCGTGACGTGCATCGACTCAGACAGCGGCGCTACTACTGCACTGCTTGCAGAAAGAAGTAGCGAAAACGAAGCAATGTCAACACACCACACCCAACCAAAATGAAAGCAGTGTCTTTAAATACAAATACAATTCAAAGCCAATAACAATTGTCACTCGTTGAATATGCTAGCTTTTTCTTTTCGCGTGAAACTCACTTTCGCAGACGCCTAAAGCAGATACCGATGCTCAGCCAACCGTTTGAAATCCGCCAATACTTTGAGAGCAAAAAAAAAAAAAAAAAAAACATTACCAGCAAGTGCAACAACAAAAAAAAAACATTGCTCTGCTTGCTGCTGAAGCACTATATTGCATAGTTGAGAGGATTTGGCTAAAAGATTTTTTCGGCACGCCATATTAATTTTAATTTTTTAAGCTTTTGCGGATGGACTCTTAAAAAAGTTTTTTTTTTATCTCATCACAATTTGAAATATCGAATAAAAAGGACTACCCCAAAAGTGTACCAATTTGTGGAATTTGGTACATCGCACCAATGTTAATTTAGTACTTTTGTGCAGCGATCTAAACTTTAACATTTGATTAACAGAAGCGCGGTTCAAATATGTCAATAACAACAGCTGCAGATGCAGATGCTTTATAAGTGAGCAAATAAAGACATGTTAGTACACACCACAAATTAGACACATACATATAAACAAGCATAGACTTTCAATAAATAAATATAAATATATTTATGTAATTAGTATATTACAAGTATATACATTTTAGAACAAGAATTTTGCATGCGACGCAATTGATACCGTTTCAAAGTTTATGCGTAGTTTAACAGAGCAAAGATCGATAAACGCCGATAATTAAGAACACTTTATGTCAGAATTCAAATTAACGAAAATGCGCCCAAAAATAATTAACTAGCGCATAAAAAAGTATGTAAAACTGAACAGAAAAAAAAAAAAAAAAAAAAATACTATATGCAATACCAATTCATATGTGAAAAATCAAAGTCAATATAAAAATAAAATAATGAATCTGTCTGTGTTTATTATGATTGTGAATTGTTAACTATGTGTTTGTGTGTGTGTGTGTGTGTGTTATCACAGATTTAAAGATAATGATCATCTTTGTAGTTGTCTCTAAACTCGAGCAGCTTATCCAGTGCCGTGTCGTACTCTTCCTGCTCGAAGCCCGACTGCGCGTAGCTCTGCAGCTTGGCCAACTGCACACGATGCGTTTGCCCATGCAATGTATCCAGATGCGCGCCCAGTTTGCTGGAGTTCTGTACAGCAGCTAGTGCTGGAGCGCTGCCCACACGATTGTCCTTCTCCCGCTCCGCCTGGCCCAGCAGCTTAAAGCCATCAGCTGCGATGTGTGCATCAAAGATTTCATAGGGAAATGGTAGCTTGGTGTTCAGTGGCAGCGGCAGGGAGGCGGCATGCGTAACACTGCCATGATAGGCACACTGATAGTACAACAGAAGCATCTGGGAGACACTCTCGCATTTGTAGGCCGCCATACGCAGTTGCGGACCGGCCTGGTCCACGGGTCGCTTGAGCCGTGAATGGGGTATTCCGCGTGCCACAATCGATTGTACAACATGCGAATCGCCCGGCTCACAGCCAGGCGTTAGCTGTGTCAGCAACGAGCCATTATTGCTGCCATCCAGGAAGTCAATCAGATCCTGCTCCTGCTCCATGCTCAATGGCAGCGATAGGCCTGCTGCAGTCATATTGCGATTAGATGGCGTAACGCGCTCACAAAAGCGCAACAGCGATTCCGGCGTATTGCGCAGGCGATAGCCCATCGTAACCGTATCCAAGTAGGCAGCCAAAATAGCAGAGCTCTGGTACAGATTATCCGACTGCCAGTGTAGGCCAGGCATACGTCTCGATTGCAAAGTCGTATTACGCCAAATGGTCTCCAGCGTGGAAAGCGGCGTAAACATGGTTGCCTGCTCGCTGAGATGATAATAGCTGAGCACGCTATTCACCACACGGATGCTGTGTGCCGTGCGCGCATCTGCAATGGGCAAACAAACCATTAAAACGAAAAACTCTGGAGTGCTCTGAGCAAGCAACGCACCTGCTTGGGCATAGGAAATGTTACGTGGATAATGTAACGGCAGCACATAGCTGGCCCGACCATATTCATCATTCAAGTGCTCCAGACACTTGGTGGCCAAGCCACTGAAGCCATCGTCAATGTCGAAGAGCATCTGAAAGCCCTGCAATGCATCACATTCCTCTGCATACATGCGAATGCGATCGCAAAAGTCGTCGTTGAAGGCCACCGATTGCCACAGCTCGACGCCAGCCACCTGGGTGCCCAGCACTTGGACATCCGTCTGACGCTGCATGCCTCGGAGCACATTCAATGAGCGCGGGTGATAGCGTGCATATAGATAGTCCGCCCAGCTGCTGCACGTGTCAGCCAATTTGTAATCCTTTCTTTCGGTGTACACGGTACCCTTTACCAAATCCAATTGGTATTCGGATGGCTCGACTGGTGGCTGCTTGCGTACATCCAGACCGCCGGGCGTCAATATCTGACTCTGTTCAACTAAATCTTTAGTTTTCTGTAGCTCATCTGCGTTCTGTTCGTCCATCAATGGCAAAAAGTTACCATACAATTCGCCAACAACTGGCAAATGCCGCAATGTGCCCAGTAAATCAACCGATAACAATCTTGGCGTATATGTCGTCTGTTTCTGATCATTGAGACCCTCTCTATAGAGGATGTCATTCTGAGGCAGCTGCTCCTCCGCTATATTGCCCTCGCGATCATAAACAAAGTTTGCCTCCTACAAGATATGCATAAGTTGACCAGCTGTTTGGTATTTGTGTTTGTCGCTCACCTGCTGATTCCAGAAATGTGCACCCACGTAATTGGCATATGTACCAAACTGGAAGGTCAGTATCTCACGGGTCTGCTGCATTTTTAAGTTTTATTTTCTAGAGAATAATATGACAAATAACAATTGAACGCGCGCAGAAAGCTGCTCTACAGAACTGTGATGTTATCGATAAGTGACAATTCTATCGTTGCAATCGCATTCACACGTGAATGTCGCCCACACAGCTGATATTTTCTCCAAATTAGAGAAAGAAAAACAAACGTGCATATACTACTATTGTATACTCGCTATTGAATTTATGTTTATTTTCACATCTGGTTAATTAATTATTTCACTCTGGTTTACTATTCGTACCTGTTAAAAGAAAATAAACAAACTGATATTTATCAAGAATTGAGAGCGCCAGATAAATAGCAATTCCAAATCAGCGCCACTATCTGGACATAAATCACTTGGTACTGAGATGGCACAACAATGAAATTAATTGTTTGCGCCAATGGCCATAACAAAAAACTATTCTTCAATATCGTGAAATAGTTCTGGCGAACGTGACGCACAATATTCTCATGTTTCTCGCCATTCACAAACGGAATCAAATATGTAAGCAGCAATGTGAATGGGGGCGCAAATAGGCACTGATCTAACAGCATCTTCTTAAAACCCCGCTTTATCGCCGTCTGCTCTTTGGATACCAACCTATCCATGGTGCTATACCATTTGCGTAAAGAGGGTCCAACAACAATGAGACCCACAGCACTGAAACGTGCCGTCCGTGAGATGTTCCAAGCACTGAACTCTTTCTTTTCGATAAAGAACTGTGCGATCATATCACCGGCACCCATGAGAAGGGCCACATTGACGCCCTCGCGTAAATAACTAAATCTGCCCATAATTTTGAATCTATAAATAGAAGCAGTTAGCGAAAAATATGGTAAAAGATCGCATTCCATACATACAAACTGTCAAGGAATTATGTTGCCAATAAGTAACTTAATTTGGTATTTTTCTATTGTGTTTTGATGCTAAGCATGTTACCAGAATTAATAACGATTTGTTTGGTTAGTTTTTAGTTCTCATTAAAGGCCGATATTAATCGCGACAAGCACACGATCCACAATCGATAAGAATCGTCTGCTTCTTTCTATAAAACTATTCACAACGAAGAACAAATATAAAATGCGCATCTTTTAAAATTAAGAATATTTATATTTATATACATAAAGCATATTTACGAGTGTCTACAATTTAAATTAATACACTTCCACACTTTTCTGAATTTCAAAGCTGTCCAAACTCTTCTTTTTACTGGGCCTCTCCGGAGTGCTATCATCCGAGTTGAGTTCCACTTTCTTCTTTTTAGTGGGCTTCTCCGCATTGTTGTCTTCTAAGTTGTTTTCTAATTTCTTCTTTTTATTGGACTTCACCGCATTGTTGTCTTCTGAGTTGCTTTCCAATTTTTTCTTTTTATTGGACTTCACCGCATTGTTGTCCTCCGAGTTATTTTCCAACTTACTAAGTTTCTCTGCATTACTGTCTTGCGAGTTATCTTCCAAGTTCTTGTTTTCATTGGGTTTTTCCGTATCGTTGTCCTCAAAGTTATGTTCCACTTTGCTTTTGTTGGATTTCTTCTTTTTAACAGGCTGCTTCTCCTCGTTCTCTTGCTTAACCGTGGTGTCTCCATCGCTCGAGTCCAACAAATCCACATAGTCGGGATGATCGCTCTTCTCCAGGAATTTAGGAGCTACGCCTGTTATAACCGACTGACGCACATCGTGCTCCTTCTGTTTCAGCGTCTGGGTACTCGCCAAAAGCTTTTGGCGTATTCTATAGAAATTACCAGTGGAGCGCAATTTCTTTGTCGCTTCGGCACACATTTTCTCCGCATTGCGTAGCTTTTTTGCCGTCTTTTTGTCGACATCAACGCGCGTCTTGTAGTCACGCCCAAAGAACGGATGACGAACCGGCAGTCTGAACTTTTGCGGTCCAACCGTCTTTGGAAATGCATTCGTCTCTCCATTGTCAAGCGCATCTGGTTCTTGCATATTAAGACGTTTACTGATCACAACATGGCCGGCCATTGGCATCGAACGTACGGCATACTTGCCCTTGCTGTTCACATAGCCAATGGAATGAGTCAATGGTCGTTCATAGTGTGTGCTCCGCACCTGAATGTCACCGGCATAACGCCGACCGGGCAACTTAATCCGCTTGCCAGCCAATGAATTTATATTGATGCCTTTTGGGCACTGGACGATCCACGCATCGTGTGTGGCTAGATTAAAGTTTTGTATTTCTTCATGGCATTCATTGGAGAGCTTATTTGGATCAAGTGCCTCATAATCATTCTCCTCCAGAAATTCACTTTTACATTGCCTGTAAAATTGTCGCACTACTTTCTTTTCATCCTTCACCACGCCATTTTCCAAAGTCAACTGCTTTATCTGTTTGAGTATTAAACGTGGATAAGTATAACTACATTAGTTTATATTATTTACATACTCTTTTCTTATCATCGCGTTCTTTTGGGCTATCCATCTTTCATAAACAACTTATTCGAGTGCAAAGCAGTACTGCACGTGGGCCATCTGCATTAGTGTTGAGCAACGCTCATTTAAATACAGCGATATTTACCGATGAGCAGAACATATGTGGGATATTCCTTACCCGCGATAATCAAAACTAGTAATACATGCATGGAGAACCAGCGTGTATCGCTTTTCGAAATTACCGACAAAAAACGAATACCAATATCTACTACTAATAGATGCGCTTGATTCGTCCATCAGCTTATCTTGCTCAATGGAAAACAATTGCAAAATATATTTGCTGAACTGCATGATTTGTTGTTTACACTGTGCGCTAGTGATGGCATGAGCAGCTGAGCTAAGCATTTTGACATTTATCAACATAGTTAGTTTTGCAAACAGGCATCAGCTGTTATTTGTATATTATTTATTCGTATTGATATAATTGTTAAAGTAACATATAGAATAGCAAAATGTACCAAGTTGTTGCTTTCACTCTGCCCATTTCCCATTAATAAAATCAGCTGAGCGGCGCGTTTTGCTCATCTTATATCCAGATTTTTCGCCAGCCACAATTATCGTTATCGCCAATCGAAATTGTTAGTTTCGCAAGCCGGCAACAGGAAGACATTTGCCGCGTTTTATGCTTAAACTTAAGTTTTAGTTTATTGTGGGTAGATAAGCAAGCGAAGCACTAACGCAAAATGGATAATGGTAAGTAGCTGCAAATTTCGACACGAACTGTAATATGCATATGAATATTAATTGAAATGATTGCGTTTAGGACCTGTGCTTGAGGACATGTGGACGCCGTACAAGCGTCTGTATGATATATGCCAAATGGCCATAAGGAACCCGACTGAGGTCACCGGCGATTTTGAGCTCAGTCTCAAAAAGTACAAACAGAACTTTACAAACTTCCTACGCAATCCGGTAAGTTGAATTCGTAGAACAAGGAGACCTAACCTAAAGCGTCTTCTCGCATCCTCCTCCTCAACCACACCCCCAATGCAGCCGAAGAGCGAGAAGAGCCGCACACATTTGCGCAACGCCATGCTGGAGGGCGTCATGCTAGCGGGACAGACGCGCAAAGTCGAACTCTCTCAGGAAATCATTGATGAAGCAATTATAATTTCGGATATGTTCGATCTAGATGAGATCTTCGCATTGGAATTGCTCCGCACCGCCCAGCGCCAGCAAGTGCATCATCCGGGCTTGCCGCGCGGCCTTGTTGCCGTATTGCTCTACTATGATGGTCGCAAAGCAATTACCTGCACACTGCGCGACATGTTCCAGGCAATCAGCGGCGTCTCCTGGAGCACCGAGCTGCCCAGAGAGGTAATTAGCGATACAGACATCTTATATATTCCACTTTAACATATATGTTAAATCCCTCTGCAGATGACCACCTTGATCAACAACTATTGCCAGAATCTCGTCGAAGATTCCAATATACTGGGACGTCTGCTGGAGCTGCTCATTGAAATGGACATTGAAAAGGAGGTAAAGTGCACACCTGACTTAAGAGTTCCTCAACTGTAATATATTCTCCATGTAGATCAATTTGCTGACCAAGAATCGCGCCTTCGGCTCGAAGAGACACCAGAATCAGGTGCTTGCCCTCTATCAGGATATACGCAAAGCCCTAGCCATGGCTCTCTTCAATTGGTCCGCTCAACGTGGCCTGCCCAAAAACATTGCCGTACGTCTGCTGCAACATTTGGCCAGTACAAAGTCGGCCGATCCCGATGGCAACTTGGAGGATGTGACACTAATAATGCTAATGGCCCTGATGTATGCCTATGATACGTCCGTATTGCTGATAACCGAGTGCAATAGTCCGCATACGGCAAAGCTGCCCATTTTAAGCGATCCGGACTATGCCAAGTGTTTCATTGATGCGATCTATACCCAAAGCACCTGGCAGACACAATACTTCGCTGTCCTAATCAAATATAGCTTTGGCCTAACATTGGCCAGTCTGCGCCAGGCGCCGAGCGAATATCAGAGCATTGTGGGCGCCCTGATCAATCGGGATGAGCAGCTGATTGATGAGGCCCTCGCGGCGAATGTCTTCACATACATCTATCATCATCTGCTTAACAAGGATGTGGTCTATAGGTAAGCTCTGTGGATATATACATATATATATATATATATAGATGTATGAACTTTTGCTTAAAATATTCTTCAACACTTCCAGCACCGAATTCATTTATCGTCGCCTGCATCTGCTCATCACGGACTTCATAGACTTCATGCACGCCAAGGTCTCGGAGCTGCGTGGACGCGCCGATGAGACGGCGCGCACCGTAATTAGTTTCCAAAACGAAGGCCTCGAACCGCCGCCCAATTTGGACTGCAGCTTTGAGCTGCTGATGCTGTGCGTGGCCCGGCTCTATGGGGATAAGCGTGTCACGATTATCCTATGCAACGAGTATTGGGGTCCCACCGACGCCTCCACACCGAATGCCGGCAACTACGTACAGAATACCTCACGTGCTGTCTCCCTGTTCAAGTTCATACGCCTGGCCAGCGAGCTGCTGCCCCAAACGCTCTTCAGATCGTACCTGAAGATGATAGCGGGCCTGACCCGCACCGAATTTGCGGCACGCTGCGCTTTCAATCTGCTCAAGAACTCGCAGAATCTATCGTCCACCTATGCCGTTAGCTGGGATCACTTCTTCTATGCGCTCAACAATTATTTCAAGTGAGTTCAGACCAGAGCATTTGCATCCACAGCAGATTGTAATCCATTGGACTCTCCTTACAGCAATATGCGCACAGACTATGATACCGTATCACCCGATAGTGGTTCGATTTATCGCAGTGGCATACCACGAAATATGACGCCACGCGAGGCGGAGCACATGGCCGCCGTGATGGGCGTTATGCAGGCCGTTGCCGATAAGGATGAGATCTCGCGCATAATGCTCTGCGACAATGCCAATTGGCAGACGCCGCAGGTGCTGCTCGGTCTGGTGGCGTGTGCCACGCCCGTTAATCTCAAGGGTGAAATACTGTTCACGCTCGCTGCCTTGGCGCGCTCCAAGGAGACGGCACGCAACATTTGGTTTCACCTGGAGGAGTCACAAATTATACCCACATTACCGACGGTGACCTCGACCTATCCGGTGTTCAGCTTGGCGGAGGAGATCAATCAGAACGAGAGTCGCCTGGAGGAATACAAATTGAGCCGTGGCGTACTTCAGCTGCTCTACAATCTGATGACCACCAATATGCCAAAGAGCTTGGGCTGCGGTCCACGCCAGCCCGGCTATGATCCATATTTGAAATTCGTCGTCGACTCGATACTGCTCAAGTTCTACAATCGTGCCTACAAGGATGTCACCGAGAAGTGGGCCGTGGGCGCCAGCTGCCTGAAATTGCTATATTTCCTGCTCGCCAGCTATCGGCCGAAGGCTTCCGATTTCTTTGAGGAACGCGACGAGCATCCATATCCCGGGTATCACGTAATGCTGCAGCTGCACGTCAAGTCGGATGTGCTGCGTCTGATCCTACTGATCGTTGAGGAGGCACGCGAACGCCTCGACGACTTCAATCAGTTCAATGGCAAGGATCTGCTCGAGGATTGCGCCCTCTACGCGCTGCTGATGCTCGAGTGTGCGCTGTCGAAGCAGAATGCCTTCTTCGAGGCGCACGCCACATCGAATAGTTCGATTTTGTTGCTGGGCCTCAATCGCATGCTGCTCGATCTGAATCCGCGCACTCGCAGTCCCGACTACGTCCTCAATATCATCAAGTTCGTCAGCTTCAACAGTTGGCTGCCGCGCCACACCCTGGCCGCAATCAAGATCCTCAGTGCCGTCAGCCTGCTGCCGGACGTGACTACCCAGATCCTGAACATGTATGCGCATGGCACCAATGAGAAGCTGGAGATACGCCAGCGATTTGTCGAATGCCTCGAGATGCATCGCATCCAGCAGACCTACGATGATGAGCAAGAGCAATTCAAGACCAACGATCCCTATAAATATGCAAACAATGCGAGTCTGAATGACAGCGAATTGCAGGTGGATCTGGATGCGCTCGATGTAAGGAAGCCGGCGCGCATCGAACTGCAGATTAAGGAGGCGATCATCCATCTATTCGAAGTCAATCTCAGCCAGCCAATGCCCAATTTCATATACTTTCTGCTTGGCATCGAAGTCCTACGCGACTTTCCGGGCCATGAGAATCAGCAGCAACTGGGCCTGGACGTGAATTGCTCATGCATCAATTCAATGGTGCTGCTGCTGGAGCGTCATCTAGAGGTAGATTCATTATCTTTATTATTTATATAAATACTAAACTCTACCTCTCCCTCTCCCCCTCTCAGCAACAGCGACAGAGCGACGAGTATTGCGAGCATACGGCTCACATTGTGGAACGCGTTTATCATCTATTCCATGGCCTTTGCGCCAACCGGCGCACATCGGAGCCAATTCTACGCTACTTCCGTCTGACCTGCAATGACTTTCTGCTGCGCCATCTGACTGCGATGCCCTTCCGTCATTTCAACGAGGACAATGTGCTGCACGCCATGAGCCACATCATGAATTGCGTCTCCATCGAGATGAAGCTGGCCGCCACCTACGGCCAGACGACACGCTATGCTCTGTTGTCCGACATACTGCTGGCTGTCAATTCAGAGACGCAGCGCAATGGACACAACATGCCCGTGGAGATTGGCAACAATTTGTTGACGCCGCCGGTGCCGAATCACTTCAGTGATATTCTGCCCAGTCGTGTGATGTTGCACACGTCATCGTTGGGTCTGCACGCGAACCGTTTGCTCGACTGCCTCAAGCTGGAGACACAAACGCTGGTCCAGCCCAAGCTGGAGTTTTTCGACGATCGCCTGCTGGGCAATTTGCTCACCGATTGCGAGGCGGGCAGGGGCAGCAGCGCGAATGCGGCCGGCATGATCAATATACACAAGCTGCACGACATTCTGCACGACGAACTGCGTCACGTGCAGAGCACCATTGCGAGCGGTCAGCGCAAGGCGATCATTGAGGAGATCACCGTTATCCTTCAATACGCCATCAAATTGAATGGCGTGCGCATGCAGAGATTCGCCACCTACAGCTATATGAGTGGCTGGTGCAATCTAATCCAAGTGCTATTCAGCCTGATGCCCAACACGGTGCTGCCGATAAGTCTGCGCAAGCAGCACATCATCGACATCATTGAGAAGATAATGCTGAAGGTAGAGCCGCAACAGCCGCTGATCAAGATCTCTGTGCAGGTGACCGATACGATTTTGTTGCTGTCGGCTAACCTGAGGCATTGCTACCATCAGCTGGAGGATCAACGCACCATAGACGAGCATGGCAATGTTGTCAATCTGACGGACGTCTCTGCTGCTGTCGATGCCAACGGCAATGGCAACAACAACCAGAGCGTCGGCAACAGCAATCTAACGCTATGCCACGTCCAGGGCAATCTGCTAAGCAGCAACAGCTGCAGCAACAGCAACCTGCGCTTCATACTGAAGCGCCTCATCGACTGGATCATGACCTGTGAGGTGAAGTCGCAAAAGCTGAGCATCAACCTCTATGCCACGCTGCTCAACTGTCTGCGCATTGTGAAGCGCGTGCGCAGCGAGGCGCAAGTGGAATACGATGAAACGTGAGATAAACATTGAAAATATATATGTATGTATCTATATCTAGTCACACATAAAATTCGATTACAATTTCAGGTTTTTGGACTGCAAGGAGAACCCCGATAACTTGGAGGACGATGAGCCCTATCGGAAGGAATTGGCAGCTGAGATCATAAGCAGCATGGGCGATAAACTGATCGATACGATATGCCATGATGCCATTACGGGTCATGATGTCTGCAGTATGCTGGCCTTATCCTGCCTGGATCTGATATCGGAGCTGCGCGCTTTTAGCACGCTGAGCGAAACAATTGCCAGACGCGGCTATTTGAAGCACTTGCTCAGCAGCCTGGCCAAGTCGGACGAGAGTCTGCATGATGTGTTGAAACCCGAGCCGGACAACATGCGGCCTCTGTTCGTCTACGAGTCGTGCATGGCATTCCTAACCCAAACGGCCGAAACACATTTGGGCGCCACCCTGCTGCTGAACGATGGAGCCTTGGGCGTGCTGGCCAATATGACCGTCTTTGATATGCAACCGGATCTTCAGTCGACCGAAATAGAACGCTCTTCGCCGGGCAATTTTATACCGGCGGTGGATGAACGATTCCGTTCCATATTGATGCCGGCGTTGGCCTTATGCGATAGCATCATCGATACGCTGGGCATTAGCAACAATTCCGCCTCGCTGCAAGTGCTCAATTTCCTGTTCGCTCACATTGAGATGATTGAGGGCTTGCTGCGCGCCGCATCGCCATTCATGCAATTGGGCAATCTCAAGCTTCTGGCAACGATCACAAATCTATTCGCACGCACCACAACCTACGATGTGTCGGCGATTGAGAAGTGCTTGAAAATCCATCATGATGTCGAGATGAACAATCGCCTCAACCGGCTGCAGCAGTTGATGATTGTGGTCTTTGGTCGCTTCACGATCAATGAGGAGACTATGGATCGCATGGTCGAGCCGGAGCACAAAGATGAGCCCGAGATGTCCGAGGAGCAAAAGAGTCAACATATTAAATACTTCCTAGACATCACAGCGAATCTATCCTTGTTTTGCCGACACGCTGTCACAAGTCATGTGCGTGACGGCATCACGTCCAAATACTTGATAACCACCATGATAAGTGATGTGACGCCACTGTAAGTTGATCAGCAAACTCCCTATTATATATATTACACCTTAATGATTTGCATTTTCAGCTCGGGCAAATCGGATTGCAAGAAGCTGACGGCTGTGATGCAGACCATAATGAATCAGCTGAAGGGCTCGATTGCCTATTTCCTGTCACAGAAGTCAATCGCTGACAATTTGGTGCAACAGCGCGCCTCACTGCCCAACATAACATTTGGTCCGACTGGTAAGCAAATAGATCCTATATATAGATTATGTCAAATTATATATAAATCATTTTATTTAGGCAAACAAAACTACTTGGAACTGAGTCAACGTCACTCGGAGAAGAGCAACGAACTAATGTTAGCTGTTTTCATAGCTGAGCAAAATTTATATTTACTTTGGATACATTTGGATTTCTATTTCCGCAATGCAGTCATCTATTCGCGCGAAAATCGTACATCCATCAATGAAACCTGTCTAGGTAATTTTTATCAAATTGAATTCTTGAGTTCCATTCTAATTTGAGTTTATAAATCGCATTTTGCAGATCCCAATAATATGTCCGTGCTGAATGCCTCGCACGATGAGATAGCAGAGCTGAAGCAAATGCTGATATACAATTTGAATGAAACATTTTGTACACAATTAATTACCGCCAGCGAAGAGTATTCAATGAAATGTAAAAACTTTAATACCGCTCTATTGCGACGTATTAAGTCGCTCGTTCAATTCGCACCGGTCGCCTGATTACTGTCAATATGTTTCTTGTTTTCCATATTATCTTAATAAAATCATCGTCATTATCTAAATGTTGTATGTCGTGTTATCTGCCTAATTATATATGATTTTTATATAAAAACTGTATTAATCGTTTAAGTTGCTCTTAATTGTAATCGAATTTTATAATAATGTATCAAAGAATGAATGAGTATAAAAAGAAAACTGTATGCGCCTCTTTCTTAACTATGCACATCTGCAAGCATACCCGTTATTTTCATCCAAATTAATCGATTACTGTAATGCTCTGAATGCTGAATGCTAACTGCTTTCTCTTTCTTATCTATGTCAAAATATTAGCTGAAGTTAATTCTTTTTTGATACTATTAATATTAAATATAACTATATACAAATTTAACACACGTCCAGTTTTAATTCTGCAGCTCGACAAACATTTCAAAGGCAAAGGCGCGCTCGCATGCAGTAACAAAATACAGTAACAAATATATAAATATCGAATACTTATGGTATCGATGACTCAAACGATATCGATGGCGCGTGACATCTCTACAGTGCTGCTCTCTTTTCAAATATCCGGTTCACACAATTGGTTCGTTTCGCGAATTTCTCTTGCAATTTCGCATAGAAATAAGACTGTTCTCAAAGTTTTTGAAAAAAACGTAAACATAACACAAGTGATATATACAATTGCCTAACAAGAAAATCAATTACAAATCGTAGACGTGCCAAAATGACACAGATGTTGCAAAATTACATATTTGTTATTTTTTGTTTGTTTTGTTTTTTTTGTGCTGTTTGTTTGACAACAATCGAATAAACCGGTGATTGTGACTCTCTTCAACAGCAGTGGCTGAGACAAAATGGCGCCTCGTAAGGCAAAAGTTCAAAAGGAAGAAGTCCAAGTGCAGCTCGGCCCCCAGGTGCGCGACGGTGAGATCGTCTTTGGCGTCGCTCACATTTATGCTAGCTTTAACGACACGTTCGTGCACGTTACCGACTTGTCTGGCCGTGAGACAATCACCCGTGTCACCGGCGGCATGAAAGTCAAAGCCGATCGTGACGAAGCATCGCCCTACGCGGCAATGTTGGCAGCTCAGGTAAATTGATAGAAATGGATCAGATTATTTGTGGCATTTTTTAAATGTAACTTTTTGCTTTTAGGATGTCGCTGAGAAATGCAAATTACTCGGCATTACAGCTCTGCACATCAAATTGCGTGCAACTGGCGGCAACAAGACCAAAACGCCTGGGCCCGGTGCTCAATCTGCGCTGCGCGCTCTGGCACGTTCTTCCATGAAAATCGGTCGCATCGAGGATGTGACACCCATCCCGTCAGACTCAACGCGCAGGAAGGGTGGCCGTCGCGGTCGCCGTCTGTAAGGCAGCGGTCAGCTGTTCGTGCCGTGGATGCTGGAACTCTCAGTCGATATCGAGATGAATCGAATAAAAATAATAAGAAGCACTAACTTTAACATATAATACAAATAAATACATATTATATAGTAAATAGACAGTCCAAGCAAGATTTGTTCTTATGTAGATTTATTACCACTTGGGAAAGGGGGTGAGGGGCTGACAAGTGCCGAAATATGTTGCGAAATTGCGATTAGTTTAGTCGATAAGCTAATCGAACATATTATCGTAGGCATACTTTAAAGAGTTACTGACTAGAATTTACAAGAAAGTTGTGAACTTTCTTTTACCTATATATCTTATTTCCGGCATTTCAATTTAATTCAATTTAAATATTTTGGCAAAGTAAAATTTAACAGCTGTTCGATACTTAAATGGCACATTGTTTATCGATAACGAATCACTTGATTTGTCTGCAGTCTTCTTCTTGCTGTGCGTGCCAACGCATCGCTGTGACTGGCAGTTTTACAAGAACCACATAGCATTGAAGAGATAAAATTCACATACAGAGACTGTGTAATTTCAACACACAAGAGCAAGCGAAATCCAACGAAATCGAGCACGTTTGTAGGTACAACAAATTAAACGAATACAAATGAATTATTAAGCACGGGCTAGCGCTAACCGTAACGAGCAAAAGTAACTGATATTATAATTGGCAAGTTCATTGCACGAGTAATATATTTGGTTATATACATACATATATAAATATATATACATATACCTTTATATATATATGTGTGCGTTCGTTAGTTCGTTCGTGTGTGTGCCTAAAGGCGTGTGTAGTTGTGCAGTAAGCATGTGTGTGAATAAGAAATTTGCGAACTCGATAAAACATCGTGCAGATTGTTAAGTGGCAGTCCGACCTACGTTCAATA